GTGCTGGGTGGTTCAGGGAAGTAGCAGGGATCGTGGTTGTGATGACCGAGGCAGGGGGATTCTGGATGAGGCAGGCATTTGTGGTGTTACTGTTGGAAAACTTGGCTGAGGTCCAAGGAGGGAAGAGCAGAGGAGTCCAAAGAGAAAGCAGAAATGGTGAACATCAGGGCTTCTATTTGGGGCTAGGTTTACATGTTTTATTGGATCATCGGTTTGAGGGTATGGGTGAGAGACCAGTAGATTCCTGTTCAGAAGACCTGGGAATGGTTCCTATGAAAAACAAGATCTCCTGTATATACAATATGATTTCAATGATGGGCATGTGTGTATATAAAGAAAGAAAACTGGAAGGAAAGGACTAAGCCACTAACCACTTAATGGGCAGGGCCATCAGCTCATGAGGTTGACTGCCCAAACTTGGATAATTAGCAGAGGGAACTAAATTCTTCTGGGTCCTTTCCAGTTCTCCCTTCAAACTTGACACTTGGCCCTATGTTTCTGACCGGGACCTGGACTTCTCTGATTCTTCACCCCTACTACATTACTTCTAGTCTCCTTGGGTCAAAATCCAAGACAGGATTCAAACTGGGAACTTTCTACTCCTCCAGAACTCCCTGAGTCCTGAAGTTCACACTCTCCCCCCAAGAGCAGAAGGATCAAGAAACGGATATCAAGGGGCACCTGGGTGGCTCAGCAGGTTAAAGCCTCTGCCTTCAGCTCAGGTCATGATCTCAGGGTCCTGGGATCGAGTCCCGCATCAGTCTCTCTGCTCAGTGGGGATCCTGCTTGCCCCTCTCTCTCTGCCTGCCTCTCTGCCTACTTGTGATCTCTGTCTGCCAAATAAATAAATAAAATATTAACAAAAGAAAGAAAGAAAGAAAGAAAGAAATGGACATCAAGTTGTAGTGGCTGAAACAAGCAACATGAGCACAGGAGCCCCAAAGTTCCAACTTTCTGTTTCAGTTTCTTCACTTGGCTACCTGGTCTGGTGAAAGGACATGGAACTTTCTGGAATCTTTTGCAAGCATACCTTCTGTTGATGCACTGATCAGACATCAGTGAGCTAAGTACCATCCCTCAAACCCCAGGAATTAGGGTCTTCATAAAACAAAAAAAGATGAATTCCAAATTGCAGGGAGTGGATATGGTGTTGGTTCAGGCTCCATTCCAAAGAAATCTATGAGCTCCAAGAAGCACCCTCTCACCTTCAGGCCTTACTGTTGGTAGAATGAGTGTGCCATCCTATGTCGCGCTGGTTGTAGGAGATTTCATACAATTAGGTCTTTTTTTTGGGGGGGGTGAAACAATTTTGCTTTTCTCCACACTCTAAACTGTCCTTAGAGCTGAACGTATACACCTGTCAAGTGAATTGATGCCCTATGTGGGTATAGTTCTTCAGAAACCCCCTCGAGACTGGGGTGCCTGGGTGGCTCAGTGGGTTAAGCCGCTGCCTTCGGCTCAGGTCATGATCCCAGGTCCTGGGTTCGAGCCCCACATTGGGCTTTCTGCTCAGCAGGGAGCCTGCTTCCTCCTCTCTCCCTGCCTGCCTCTCTGCTTACTTGTGATTTCTCTCTGTCAAATAAATAAATAAAATCTTTAAAAAAACAAAAAAAGAAAGAAACCCCCTCGAGAAAACATGGATAACTCCGCCGAGTTGACCTCCTTTTTTATTTTTTTTTAAATTTTATTTATTTATTTGAGAAAGAGAGAGAGCATGAGCAGCGGGATGGGTAGTGGGAGAAGCAGACTCCCCATTGAGCAGGGAGCCCAATGCGGGGCTTGATCCCAGGTCCCTGAGATTAGGACCTGAGCCAAAGGCAGACACTTAACCAACTGGCCGAGTCATCCGGGAGCTCCAGGTTGACCTCTTTTAGAATATGAATCCTGGGGGGGATACAGACTCATTCACATAATTATGTGTCTTTTTTAAAAAGGATTTGTGAAAACCAACACCAATTAGGAATACAGGACCACTTCCATCTTTTCTAGCAGCCCTTACTGGAAAGAGTTTGCATAAGCCTTCCCCAGCTTGAGCTGTGGGGTGGGGACTTTGGAAATGGTCTTCAGATTTTCAGGGTTAGCTGTTTCCTTAATCCTATGGACCCATTTGGGAAGGGGTTTGACCTGTGTGTCTTAAGCAACGTTTGTGTTGGAAGCTGGTCCCTTTGATTTCCGAGCCATACAACAATGCTGTCTCATTGATCAAAGCCATACAAAATGCCACATTTTGTTCGGTAATGAGGCCCAGGGATGGGCTGGCTGATGGACTCCACATGTGAGGCAATGGAGGAAGTCTCAGGATTCCCACTCCGAGGCAAGCAGCCCTGCTCCATGATGGAATGATCAGAGCCTCCCCAAGCCCGCGATTCTGCCGATGGGGTCTGAAGCTCTGAACTTAGACAATGTGGCTGGTGAGAAGTGCTCCTAGATAATGGGGATTGGTTCCCTCTGTTGTCTGTCCTGGTCCTGGCGGGAACAGGAATGGGGAAAGCCCTCGTTTGGGCTGATGTTTGAGCCATCCCAGAGATAGCATGTTTCGAGACCTGCTCTCCCTGAGTGAATCTGAGGAAGTAAGCAGGCAGCTGTAAAATTTTAAAACATTCTCCCTCAAACACCCATTGCAGGAAGAAAGCGTGCTTAGGATTCAAGGCAGAAGCTGATTTTAGCTGCTTCCCAAGAGCAAATGGATTTACATTGCTCACTGTAGTACAGTTTTCCTCCTGCCCACCTCCCACCCATGCTCTTCCTTCTCGATCCTCACTTTTCCTCTCTCTTTTTCTCTCTGGTAGCAGCAGGACCCCATCCAGAAGACGTGTGTAAGTCACAGTAAATAGGAAGAGGACAAGTCGATTCTAGCAAGCATTTTTACAATACAGCTACAGACTATTCAAATAGACTTCCTGTAGCCTAGAACTACACACAGAACAAGACTCACCCTAGAGAAATCCTGCCAGAACTCCAAGGAACAGTGAGTACACACTGATATTGACCCACGGTTTCCCTTCCTAGGAGCTCTGCTAAAGGAGCTCTCTCTTCTGGTCAAACAGGTCTGCCCACCATTCCCTAAACACATCTCACTGCTTGCTGTCCCCTGGAATGCTTGGACTCTCCATCTCCTTTATGACCCAAGTTCAACTCTGCCTCTTCCACTAAACCTACCCTCTTCTCCTACCTCGAAATGCCTTCTGGCACCTCATATCTACGTATGGCATTTAGGACATACTCCATTGTCATAGGTACCCCTCTCTCCTGCTAGCCAAAAACCTTCCAGAATCAGGAACCAGTCCTCACTCTGATTCGCAGTGGGACCTGTAGAGCTAGCTCCTCGAATTGCAATGTAGTGGCTAAACGAACACGTTCCAGAGACAGACTGCCTGGGTTTAAATCCAGCCTTGTTGCTAGCTGGATGACCTCAGTTATGTCACCTAACATCTGTGTGCCTCAAACCCCTGAAACGTGGGAATATTAATAATGCCTGGCCCATGGGGTTACTTTGAGAATCAAACAAAGTAATACTTGCAAAGCACTTTGCATGTTGCCTTTCACGCATGGCGTACTCAGGAAGTGCTACTCTTTATCCACACGGCACAACTGTATACTTAGCAGGAATCTCCGGGTGCCAAGGTTGGCAGGCAGCCTCAAACCACCCTCCCTGGTGTCAAGCTCAGTTTCACCTTATATCAAGTTTACCAGGCACTCCCTAAAGGAATTCCCTACCTGGCTTTAACTGTCCTTTCTACTTTCTACTCCGATCCCTCAGCTGACCCATGACATCTTCCACCGCCCTGCCCCCGTTCTGTCCCCAGACACACCCTTGCCCATTCCTACCGCTCTGCCTTTGCTCACAATCTTCGTCCTCCCTGCAGTGCTGGGCCTGCCCTTCCCCTTTCAAACTCCCACCCAGCCTTTCTCGCTCCACTCAAGCCTCACCTCCTCTAGAAAGCTGCCCCGGTAACGTCAGTTGACGTTCCTCATCCCCCTGCTTCCAAAATTCCTTGGCAGCAAACGTCAGAACCACATAACCGAACATACACGGAGAGTTTTCACGGTGACTTCTTGAGTCTTGGTTTTGTCTCCTCGGGAAGTTGATGACTTATTTAAAACCAGGTGGGAGGTTTTCCCCCTCTTCTGCCACCTACCCCTTCCTTACCTTTCTCATCCTGGGTGCCCAGTGGGTGTCCAGTAAGACTTACTGGCCAATGCCTCCGTGTACCCTGGGCTCTCCAAGGAAAGCCAAGGCCCCAGCACTCTTTCCGGCAGTGAGCTTGGGCTGCGGTGAAGGGCAGAAGCCAGGGGACCAGTTTCTATTGACTTCACTTCTTTCTCTATGGCCACTCAGGCCACAGAATTCGCAGGGTCTTCGGGTAAACCCTCCTTCAAACTGGACTGACCCTTCAGTTAATGGTTGACACTCTCTGTTTACCTTAATGATTGCCAAGAACTATTGCCACACCTCATATGCTTTGCGGCTCAACTGCCTTGGCCCTAAGGGTAGAAGGCAATGGGTGGTGGCATAGGGTTGGAAATGCATTGCTCCATCCCCAGCCAACTTGGGACACAGAGCATCGTGGTCCTGCCATCTGGGGGAAGCAGTCCCTTCCCCTTCCCCTTCACCTTGACTCCAAGATGCCAGGAGGCACCGTCCACGTCTTCTTCTCTCCCCATAGTCGTTATCGTTCTAGAGGCTGAGACCTGGAAGGGATGGCACCCAGGGCAGCAGCCCTCTCTGCAACTCGCCCACACACTGGATCTACCTGTAGCCAGGGGATGGGGGAAGCCCGAGGGCTGTTAAGGAGCCCAGGTCCAGGTTAACCTCCCAGATGGGCTGAACGTGGCCACGTGGGTGACAGTGATGCCTCTGGGACGGGGCAGCAACTCCAGTCTCTGTGATCTGCCTCGGGAAATGCATTGGGAGCTCAGGGGATCAATCCTATTTAATGATTGTGTGTGGGAGGAAGGCGGGGCTGGTTAATGTTTGTCTGGTTCCTCTTGGGCTGTGGGCCATATCTGGCTCGGGCCCTGGGCTCTTTGTCCCTCCCCTGGACTGGGCTGACAGTACCTAGTGGCACAGTGCAGACACGCCTGCAGACATTCCCCAGGAAAGGGCAGCGGCAGCCAGGTGAGGAAGCTGGGGACAGGGGGAGGTGGGCTGGGGAGGGGGAGCTGGTGTGGCATGGGGGGGGCGCAGGGGGCAGAAATGGGGGCTGGGGAGAGGCCTGGGTTTTGTCTTCCCTTGGCCTCAGCATTAAGCCACTTAGGTCCCTTCTGTGCTTCCCTCTGGGTAGAGTGAGACCCCTCCTGCCGAGTGCCAGGCTTGCTCAGCCTCTCTCTGGAGCCTTCGACTGTTACCCTCTTTCCAAGCTCAGAGTGGCTTCTCTTCTCCCCGCCCTTTTTCCCCCAGCTGTGGATTCCCTTCATCCTCACAGGGCTGAATTCCCAGGAAGACTTGAGCCCCCCTCCCCCCATGCCCAGGGTGGCCAAGTTCATCTCTTTAAGACGCTTCCTGCCAGAGATGGTTAGGGTTCGGTGGACCATTGGGCACTGCCAGGTGCTGTGCTCCTTCCCTGACTGGAAGGTAAACCAGGCACGCAACCAGCCTGGGGTTGCGGACGGGTGAACACAAGGCACTCAGCAGGGGCAGAGGGAAGGCTGACGGGGCTGGGATTTGGAAGCGTGGCTTTCCGTTTTCTTGAGGGAGGTAGGCAGACTCAAGCTGAGCCATGAGTAACGAGTGATCTGGAGATCTAAAGGAGGGGAGGCCCCACAGCTGTTTGAAAGTTGTTCCAGCTGTTGGGGACAGCATGGCAGAGCGCACGGACTTAGAAAAGGAGGTGGGGAGAGGAGGCTTTAGACAAGAAGGCTTCAGATGGAGAGACTTCCATTTGAAGATGCAGCAGAGCAATGGGCAAGGGACCCACGCATTGGTGGGGAGCCCCAAAGTTGGGCTCCAGGACTTGCTGACCAGCTGTGTCATAAGTTACTCTGAGCCTCCATGGCCCCATCTGGGAACTGGAGACAACAAGCCACAGCTCACAGGCTTGTTGTGAGGATGGGAGTTAATGAACATCCAGCTCCTGGAACACTATGGGCATTCCATAAATGGTGGCTGTTAGGTTATAATAAAGCCCAAGTAGGGAGCAACAGGAAGTCAGATAGTTGACGGAGGAATAAGAGGGTATAGTCTGCAGAGTAAGGGAGCTTGTCAGTTACCAGTTCCTAGGAAAAGACCATGCCCAAGGGAGGGAAGGAGAAAAGTGGAATGAGCTAGAGTGACCCTGACCCTAGCCTGGTTACAGTATATGTGGCAGGGCAGAGAGGATGAGCAAAGTGCCTGAGGTGTCCTAGGGCCACAGGGTGGAGGCAGGGTGGGGGAAGAGGGGGAGGGCTGGAGAAGTTTGGCCTTGGCCACACCAAACTGATGATGAAGGCAGCCTGAAATTCCGGAAGAAATCCCAAAGAAAGCCCCTTGTCCTTTCCTGGCCAGAGCCTGGTTGTGAAGCCGGGGGGAGGAAGTGTGGAATGCGAGGCTGAACAGAACCTCATCCAGTCCAACTAGGGCCTTCCTCCCAAACCCAAAAAAACACTAGGATTTCCTGTAGTTGGAAGGAGGGACAGGGAAGAGGTGGGGGCAGAAAGAGAGAGAGAGCTGATGAATGGGTATGGGCACACATCTTCTTGTGTGTGCGTGTGTGTGCACATGCCCACGCACGTGAGCATATGTGGAAAGGGGTCGAAGTTCTGAGCTATGGGCCAGGTCTCGGTGAGATGCAGACTAAGGGAGGCTGTCCAAGGTGGTGCAAGGTACAAAGGCTTTGAGGTGAGAAGAAACGAAATCGGAAACCTGACTCTACCATTTCACAGAGTTGCCATTGAATCAAGTTATTTAACGTCTCTGAGCCTCAACTTCCTTGTCTGAAAAATGGGGATATCATTACAGGATGGTTGTGTGGACTAGGTGCGATCTCCAGATCTTAAGCTGTCCTTGGGTGCCTGGGCAATTCAGAATCCGAGGACGAGGCCAGGGCCTGACAGAGCCAGGGGAGTCTTGTCTAATTAAATATGAGAGCATGAGAGCAAAAACAGGTCTGGGGCAATGCAGAGCATATCAATACTTGGACTTTAACCCAAAGTCACAAAGGCGGTTTGGATTTCAAAATCAGGTCCCTCCCCCTGGATGTTTTTAGAATGAAACCCTTGAGGTGCTGATGTTGACATAGGGATAAACTCTCCATCCCAAGGGAAGAGCAAAAACCGAGATCCCAGTGCCCACATGAGGGTGCTTAGGGGCCCCAAAGGGAGCTCACTGGTTACGTCCCAGAGGGCGCAAAATGGGGGTGAAGAGCTCCAAGAGCCTAGAAATTCAGCAGTGGCCAGGCCAAACGAGGAGCACCCCTGCACTGCAGAGAGAACAGCTCGAGTGTGCTCTGGAGTCTGAGGAAACCACAGCAGAAAGGTAAGGCAGGGAAATCGGAACAGATCAGGAGGCAGTGGAAAGCCCTGGGAGGGAAGAAGAGGAAGAGTTACCAGTCCATAGGAAAGAGGAGAAAGGGCTAGAAGAGAATACAAGCCAGGCCAGTTTTGAATCTCTTTGTTTCTAAAAAATACTCACAGACGGGCGACTGGGTGGCTCAGCTAGTGAAGCGCCGGACTCGGTTTCGGCTCAGGTCATGATCTTGGGGTTGTGAGATCAAGCCCCACGTCAGGCTTTGTGCTGGGGGTGGAGCCTGCTTCAGATTCTTTCTCTCTCCCTCTCCCTCTGTATAGCCTGCCACCCGCTGGCCCACACTCTCACTCTCTCTCCCTCTCTCTGTCTCTCAAAAAACGAATAAAAAAATACAAACACTCATAGAAAGAAAGATTATAATTCTAGCCAAGGTGGTCAAGCTTATGGGCAAAAGCATGGGCTCTGGAGTCAGTTCAGCCCGACTCCAGTCCCACTTCCATCACACACTAACTGCATTGATCCGTGTGACCCTTGGACAAGTCCCTTCACCTTTCTTTACCTCAGTTTCCTCTTGGGTGACGCAAGGATTAAAAGCAACACCCACCTCACGGGGTTGTTCTGAGCTTCACAGGAGGTCATCACGTGCAAGGCCTGGCCTCACAGGTGCTCAGTAAATGGTTACTCTTCATAATGTTCCTTGACCACCGGTTTGTGAATCCAACGTGTGTCACCAGATGAGGCATTTCTTTACCGTCAACCACTAGGCCTCCTGCAGCAGCCCTGCCTTCAGAACCCATGGCTGAGCAGAAAGGGCACCCGTGTTCCTACCTCTCCATGCTGGTTTAGGCCCCAGCATGAAATCAGTGAGGCTTTTTTAAAAATTATTATTTTAAGTTAAATGAGAAAAGAAGACCTTGTTCAGAAAAGTACTCTGTGTCCCGTGGACCATCCCTTCATCCCCCGGGTTCTTTCATCCCATTCCCCAACTTTTCCATGGCTAATATCCCCCCCTACAACAGAGAGAAGCACCCCAGTCTTGATGCGGGGCTTCTGCCACCACCACTGCCCTTGTACGGGGACAGGAAATGCCCCACATGTCCCGCAGGTCCAGGCCTGTGTGCTCTCCTCACACCCAGTTCCCTGCTTCCAGCATCATCTACTCGGCTCAACTTAGTGGCAGAAGTGGTGGGAGGTGGGGGAGAGGAGGAGGCCTTCTTTACCTGCACTGCTTAGAGGGGAGTTTCTTCCCTAGAGCTACTGGCAGGCTCAGAAAACCAGGAGGTTACAATGTACTTTTGATGGGGGGGGGCAGGGCAGAACAGCCTGTTCTATCTCCGGACAGATGCCTACGTCAAGGGCAGCACTGGGAAACAAAAAGTGGGACATTGGGTTTGGCAGACCACCCAGTCCCCCGAAACAACATGTTTTCTCTTCCTGATTAGGTGCTTATCTCCCTTGATCATCATCTATGAAACTGGAGCTGAGCTGGGAACTTGTTGCAGGGGGCTTCACTAAGCTCACAATGACGTGGGTATTAAAGATTATTTATTTATTTATTTATTTGACAGAGAGACAGAGAGAGAGAAAGACAGCGAGAGAAGGAACACAAACAGGGTGAATGGGAGAGGGAGAAGCAGGCTCCCTGCTGAGCAGGAAGCCCAATGCCGGGGCTCAATCCCAGGACTCCGGGATCATGACCTGAACCAAAGGCAGACGCTTAACCACTGAGCCACCTAGGCGCCCCTAACCCTGGGTATTAACAACCCATTTATAGATGAGGGAGCAGGCTCAGAGGAGGTCGGGAGCTAGCCCGCGGTTGTGTTAGGCGAACAACCCAGATTCAAACCCAAAAGCGTATGACTCTTCCCTGCCCCATCTTCCAACCTTCTGTTTGCTTGTTAACTTTTCCTTTCTCACTCTGGTTTGTCCTCATCGTGTGCCCACCTGCCACCTGAAGCTCAAGGAGAGATGGTGAGGGTTTGCTCTGTGACACTGGAGCTGGAAAGTACTCAGGGGTCCGCAGCTGCCATGTTTCTTGCGCTCTTGTGGGGAGCATTAACCCTTGCTCTTGTTGTCGTCGTTCTTTTTTTTTTTTTTTTTTTTATGTTATGTTAGTCACCGTACATCATGTAGTGATGTAGTGTTCCATGATTCGTTGTTCTCGTATAATACCCAGTTGTCATTGTTCCTAACGGCTGGCTTGGGTGACACCGGCCGCGAAAAGGATGAAGGGCCGGCCAGGGAAAGAGCCTAAACCTCGGCTTCAGATGCTTGTCTGTCTCATCCTCCTCTAACACTTCTTAGCTTTGTGACCTTGAGTAAGTTACTTAATGTATCTGAGCTTCGGCCTCCTCAGCTGGAAAGACTGGGGTAAAGTCCTTGGAGGCTTGCTGAGTGGGTCCAAAAGAAGAATGTATGGGAAAAAGCTTAACACGGTTTCTGGCTTGAGACATATGAGTGAGCTCACCCATACATACCGTGCAAGGGATCTCAACCAAGGAAAAATCCTGCTGACCCCAAGTTTCTAGTAGAGTCATGGGCGATGGCCTCGGCCCAGAGCCTCCTGGTCCCCTTGGGTCCCCTCTTACATGCACCTGTCTTTGTTCTATCTCGCCCCCACCCCCCACCATGGCCATTCTTCTGGTGGGGCTGTGGGGCGGGTGCGGCGATGGACCGGGCGGGCACAGAACAGGTGGGTGCAGGCTGGGTGTCCGGCGCTGGGACACAAGTGCTCTGTGTGTAGGGTGGGCGGAAGTCAGGGCGTTTGATCTGAATTCTAAAGGGCGTTGTTCAGAGCCCCACAAAGGTCCCATTGTGCAGACACTGGGTATAAAGCAGCATATGACTCCCCAGCACCGGGCGGCGATGAATTGGAACGCAGGCGCGGACCCAGGGACCACTCCCCCTGCACAGACATGAGACCATAGGGGACCTGTCTGGGTGGCCTCAGGGATAGGCGCTCCCCAAGGTAATGGGCTTTGTTGGGCTCGCCCCAGGTCCGGAGCTAAAGAGCTGGGGGATGGGGAGCTAAAGAGAATGGCTGAGGGCAGAACAAAATGGACCTGGTAAAGAAAGGGGCTCTGGAGAGGAAAGAATGTTGGATGAAAGCAAAGAAGGGAGATGGGCTTCAGGGAAGTCAAGTCAAGTGAGGAGGAGGAGGAAGAAGAGGAAGAGGAGGAAGAGGAAGAGGAGAGGCTGGCAAGGGATGTGGGGTGATGAGGAAAGCACTGACCATCCTTCTTCCCTTCCTGTCACTGGCTCTTGGAAGGGGTGACAGGGGTGGCGGGGGTGGGTGTGTGTGTCAAGCCATGTCACGCTGCCCAGCTTTCTGCCCCAGCTTTCTGCCAGCTCGCTTTGTGCCTCATCTTTTGCAGGTGTGAATGAGGCAGGATGAACTGGACCGGTTTGTACACATTGCTCAGTGGCGTGAACCGGCATTCTACCGCCATTGGTCGCATATGGCTGTCGGTCATCTTCATCTTCAGGATCATGGTGCTGGTGGTGGCTGCCGAGAGCGTGTGGGGTGACGAGAAGTCCTCCTTCATCTGCAACACCCTGCAGCCCGGCTGCAACAGCGTCTGCTACGACCACTTCTTCCCCATTTCCCACGTGCGCCTGTGGTCCCTGCAGCTCATCTTGGTGTCCACCCCAGCTCTCCTTGTGGCGATGCACGTGGCTCACCAGCAGCACATAGAAAAGAAGATGCTGCGACTCGAGGGTCACGCGGACCCCCTGCACCTGGAGGAGGTCAAGAGGCACAAGGTCCACATCTCAGGGACGCTGTGGTGGACCTATGTCATCAGCGTGGTCTTCCGGCTAATGTTTGAGGCCGCCTTCATGTATGTCTTCTACCTGCTCTACCCCGGCTACGCCATGGTGCGGCTGGTCAAGTGTGAGGCCTACCCCTGCCCCAACACGGTGGACTGCTTTGTGTCCCGGCCCACCGAGAAAACCGTCTTCACGGTCTTCATGCTGGCCGCCTCGGGCATCTGCATCATCCTCAACGTGGCCGAGGTGGTGTACCTCATCATCCGGGCCTGTGCCCGCCGAGCCCAGCGCCGCTCCAATCCGCCCTCCCGCAAGGGCTCGGGCTTCGGCCACCGCCTCTCACCTGAGTACAAGCAGAATGAGATCAACAAGCTGCTGAGCGAGCAGGATGGCTCCCTGAAAGACATACTGCGCCGCAGCCCCGGCACTGGGGCTGGGCTGGCTGAGAAGAGCGACCGCTGCTCGGCCTGCTGATGCCGCACACAAGGCAACCTCCCCTCCTGCACCCCTCCCCCTATCCCCCATCCCCCTGCCCCTGGCCCTGCCCCTCCTTCTCCCCTGCCAGGTGTGGGCCTCTGCCTGCTAGGGACTGCAGATCAGATCAATGGAAATCTCCCTTTCCTCCCTGGTTTCCCGTCCTCCACCCCCACACCCCCACCCCCGCCTTGTGTCTGGGGGGCCAGAGGGGTGGGGAGCCCGAGGCCGGCCAGGCCAGTGCTCAAGGGTGGGGTGAGGGGGCAGGGGGTGGCTCTTCTTGTCTGTACCCCCTTTCCACTTCCCTCTCCCTCTTCCTGGGGCCACTGGGGGACAAGAGATATGATGCTCTGACAGCATCTCCAATTATGAAACTAATCTTAACCCCGTGTTGTCAGATACCCTATTTCTGGAGTCACATCAGCAGGGAGGGACGTGGGCAAGTAGAATGGAAGGAGGGTGCTCTGGACATGTGGGTGGAGAAGAGAGGGTAGTCAAGGCGAGAAAAGGAGGAACAGCACTTTGCTGGCCACAAGGAGGAGGAGGACAGTCTGGGATGGAGGAATTAGGGAGGGAGGAGCAGGCAGATAAGTTGGAGTGGGGGTTGGTTAGGACCGCCTTTGCCTCTCATTCCCAAGGCCTCTCTGTGCCTGAAATGTTACACATTAAACAGGATTTTACAGTAAACGAAGAGGTGGCTTGTGTGTTTGTCAAGTTCTTTCTCCCGCAACCTCTGACCTCCCCCTGGATGAGCTGGCCTTGAATTTTTGCTGATCTAGAAAGCAATGCGCAACAGAAGTAGTGAGACCCTGAGCCGTTCTTGCCTCTTTTTTTTTTTTTTTTTTTTTTTTTTTTTGCCGGGGGTGGGGGGTTGGTTTGGTTTGGGTTTGGCTTTTGGTTTGGGGAGGGCTTAAATTTTTTTTACTCACAGCTTTATGGGCACCAGGTGCCCTGAACCCCTTCCTTTTCTCTTATTTTTTTCATCCATTCTAAGTATAGTTTATGGAGTGTTCATAAGTGCGTGCAGTTTTGTAAACACGGCCGCAATATATTATAAAACATTTACATTACCTCAAGAGGTTTCCTTGGGCCCCTTCCTCTGATTTGAAAAACATTAAAATGGCAACTCCATCTGGACAGACAGGAAATGATAGAGAGATTTTGCAAGTCGGAGAAGGTAGCACGTGTTCCCTGGGTGAGGGCCCCTTTCCCGAGCTCTTGGGAGAAATAGCCCCCTTCCTCCCTTGAAACTCAGGTGCTCACTGCCGCCATAAGCCACCTGCTGGACTGCACTGGGACTCTGACCCCTCTACCTGGATTGGACACAGCCCCCAATTCTACTCTCGTCCCCAGTTGCCTTACCTCAGGTATCAATGCCTCCCATCCCAGAGATGTTTCCAAACGCAGGTCAGACCTTTCATGGTGGGGGGGCATCTCTCCTCACTCCCAAGCAGCAGGTAGCCTCCCCACCCTCTGGCAGCTATAATGGGAAAAGCCCCAAGCTGGGACTTGACCAAGCTGTGTTCAAGTCCTAGCTCCATCACTTAGGAGTAAGACATTTGCTTTCCCAAGCCTCAGTTTCCCTGTGAGCAAAAAAAGGCAGGCCCATTACTCCGTTGAGTTCCCTTTAGCACTCTGGGCTTCTGGGATTCCTAAGAGGCTTCCCCAGATTCACAGGGGTTTCCCCATCTCAGAGTCACTGCCCTCACCAGGGAGCCATCAGAGTAAAAGATTCCCCACCCCCACCTCCAGCAAGTTTCTTGCCTCAGTTCCCCTACCTTTTAACAGAAAAAATGGTTTGCCACTCCCTGTCAGAGTACCATGACTCTGTGTGACAAGTGCATCAGAAAGGAAGAGAGAATCAGGCATTTTCTCTTATCAGAATCGTTCTCCTCTAGAAACAGTCTTTCCCCTTCAGACAGAAAGCAGGGAATGTTTCCTGATTTGAGGAGGTTTCTCCTTTAGCAAAGAGAGAGTAAGCCTTTCCCCCCACCCTCGGCAATTCCTGAGAGACAGCTTCCCCTTTTCTTGAGAGAGATTGCTTTTCTGAAAAAGAAAAAAAAAGTCCTTTCTCTTTAGAAAGCGACACCATATCCTGTGAGAAGAGAGGTTCCCCACCCCCAGGTCTCCCACAGTGGGAGAGATTCCTTTTCTTATCAAAATCCTACCCTCCCCCCCCAACACACACCAGAGCACAAGGAACAGAGAGCATCTCTTCTCTGTCCAGAAGGCCACCAGGAAAAAGATTTTCTCTTTAAAAATGTCCTGCTGGTGGGGCGCCTGGGTGGCTCAGTGGGTTAAGCCTCTGCCTTCAGCTCAGGTCATGATCTCAGGGTCCTGGGATCGAGCCCCGCATCAGGCTCTCTGCTCAGCAGGGAGCCTGCTTCTCCCTCTCTCTCTGCCTGCCTCTCTGCCTACTTGTGATCTCTCTCTGTCAAATAAATAAATAAAATCTTTAAAAAAAAATGTCCTGCTGGTTCCACACAAGAGCCTCCTGCCCTCCACACGTGGAGAACCACGCAATCCATCACCACCTCAACTACCTAGTTTCTCTTCAAATGATTCTGTGAGAACCTCCCTTTGGAAAGAGGCTCCAACTCCAGATCAAGGCTTTCCTCTCAAGGGGGCAGTGGTGGGACAATAAAGCCACCATCCAGCTCTACAGCCAAAGAGAGGACACTTACCCTTGTGTCCTGGGAACCAGATGGGAGCAAGCCAAAGGACCCTGGGGGAGCTGTGCACAGTGTTGCAGGGAGGGAGGAGGGCCTGTCTGGCTAACCCAGGACTGGTTCTTTGATCTGAGGCTTGTCACAAGAGTGTAGTTTATAAGGGAGAAGCAGGAGGCGAGCACACATAAGGCTTGCCACACAGACAGTCCAACTATGGAATGACCTTGGTGGCAGTGGCCAAGAAGGCTTTGCGATACAGAGACCGGGGTTGCCCTTGATGAGCTCTGTCCCCCTGGGACACATGATAACCTACCTACCCCGAGTCTCGGTTTCTCCATCTGCAGTGTAAGGTGGTTAATGCCCTCTCTCTACCTCTCCTTTCCCAGAGCTTTTTTGAGAAGCAACTCAGGTGCGTTCCAAAGCTGGTTAGAAACTGCAAAGTAAGGTAAGACACCCTCCGAAGCACAGAGGCCACAGCCTGAAGTCCTGCTAGAACTCGCAGTGAGCCAGAAAGGAGTGAGGCTGGTGCCTCGAGACTGAGGCACGTGGGGCTGAACTTGGGGATAATAGGGTTGGCTGCCCCCGGGAGCAGACAGCAGCCCAAAGAGCAAGGTCAGAGAGATGTTGCATATTCAAGGGATTTGATGGGGGCCCAGAAAGGCTGAGTAACAGGAGCTTCTTATGCACTCTGTCTCTGGGTCCTGGTGATTTTAGGGGCATTTGTGGTCTTTTAGAGGCATCCGTGTGCAGAGATACTAGGAGCTGGGGGCAAGGAGAAGAGGCAGCTCCTGGGTGAGGGGAGTGGCTCCCTTTAATAGTCAAGGCCCCGAAACCGGATTGGGATTTCAATGCAGGCGGCAGCCTCCACAGAGAATTGGCATGGCAACCACGAACTGATTCAGATGCCCAATCAGATTGCCTGGGTGCACGCGGTGGTGTCTAGAGGGGAGTGCTTGCTCCCTTTCCTGAGTCCACAATATGCAAAGGTCAGACATGACCTATGGTACACAGGGGCCGTAAAGGCTCACCACTGTGGATCCCCTCTGTTTCCTGGACGAAGCCAGGCCGAACCCGTCAGGTGGGGGAAGGGATCGTGGCTTTCTAGGCAGGGGGGAATAAGATGGGCACAGGACACACAGGCAGGATAGCTGAAAGGGTGCGATGCTGTCTTGAGTGAGACAGTGAGACGGATAATTTACTGTGGAGGGCTGGAGGAGTGGAACGGCTAGAGGGGAGACGGGAAAGAGAAACTATGACCAGCTTGTGATGGGCTTTGGGTCTCCCTGTAAAAGGTTGAGACTGTCCTACCAGAGGTGGAAAGCACTAAGGGTTTTGAGTAGAAGAGTGCTGCCCTCAGATTTGTGGCTTGGGAGCTGACTCTGGCAGCCACACGGAGAGCAGACTGGGGATGGGAAAGACGAGAGGCAGAATGGCCAGTTATGGAGCTGTTGCAACGGCCCAAATGGGGCCTGTGCGACTAGGACAGTGGCAGAAGGAATGAGAGGAGACAGATGTGAGACACACTTTGGGTGCAGAATCTACATATGACTTAACGTCTGAGCGTGGGGAGATGGAGGACCAGAGATGACTTGGAGGTTTCCTTCTCCTTCCTTGACTGCCAGACTCCTAATCATTCAAGACTCAGCTCCAATGTCATCTCCTGTATGAAGGTTTCATCTCTCTTCTCCCCTTCCCGTGTCCCCCACCGAATCCCCTAGAGGGAGTAAGACCTCCCCTCATTCTGAATTCCTGCCGTATGTTGCAGTGCATATTGATAAGAGTACTTCTCGGATTGTATGGAAATTTGTTATGTAACCTTAACACGTAGTAGTTGCTTAGCCTGTTGAATTAAGGGCAGTAGGGAAGTGGAGACAGGCATGCGCAAATGTTTGGAGTCTAGAAAAAGTAGGGTGTGTTCAGTGTGACTAGAGCAGAGAATACATGGGATGGGGTGGGGGTCGTAGCAGGAGGTGAGACTGGCAAAGTAGGTTGGGGCCGGTCCATGAGGGGTAGCATGTTCACACCTAGAAGTGTGCACAGGTGTTTAGACTCTGTGCTATCACTTGTAGGGACCTTAACTTGGGTTCCTTAACTTCGACTGACTGGCAATTTGGTACTCATATAGACAGACTGTGAGGATATCAAGGAGATCCAGGTCAGGGCAGCCCTTGGCAAAAATAGATGCATTAAGGGCAATGATGACCTATGGAAGAAAGAGCAGAATGATCCGACTATGGACCTCATGGAGAAAGGGTAATTTACACAGGATGGTTCTCCACTTCTTTTTTTTTTTTTAAGTTTATTTTAAGTAGTCTCTGCACCCAGCATGGGGATTGAACTCACTACCCCAAGAAAGAGTCATGTGCTCCTCCGACTGAACCAGCCAGATGCTCCAGCATGGCCCGCCATCTCAACCATCAGTGTAGCACAGTATAAAGTCAGTATAGCACAGTGACTTAAAAGCATGCTCCACTCCTTACATGTGTGACTTTAACCAAGTTACTTGGCCTCTCTGTAGCTCGGTTTCCTCACTGATAAAACAGTAGTAGTAATAGTACCTGTATCAAAGGGCTGGAGTGGGGATTAGATGTAATAATTGTATGTGAAGCACTTAGAACAGTGCCTAGTCGATAGTAAGTTCTTTTTAAAAAAAAATAATGTATTTATTTGAGTAAGAGAGAAAGAGAGACAGAGGTGA